TTATGTATACATTATCATTTACTAACTAATAGATATTTAAAATTCATACCTTACCTATGTAGTATAAAATATAGAAACAGACAAAATGTTGTTACCTATATGCTTTGTTTTTTCAAAAATTGTCTATACCTTTATGAGCTAAATAACTGGAAGCAATATAGGAGTTTTAAATATTTCAAGGTATATGCACAGATTGTGTATTTAAAGCACAAAACAGTTAACTAAAAGTTAAATAAACCATAAAACACAAAATGAAATTATTAAAATTTAATGTTAAACATAATATACAAATGCCCAGATTAATAATATAATTGCATAAATAAATATTTGTATAGTTCATTTTTATGAAGATTGTTATCTTTATTGCAAGACAAAATATAACAATGCTATTGAATAAGTCCATTTAAAATAATTAAGTATAAATAAAAATACTAATAACCTTTTAATTTGCATGAATCAAAAGACTAGTTAAAAACCAAATCAATCATTCTGAATATTATTCTACATATTAATAAGACTAACAGTAATGAAATTATTTATAATATTAAGTAACCTAGATTATCCTAATTTACTGTCATAATAAAAAAATTGTGAAAACACAATTTTCTCATATACAAAATTGTTGAAAATATGTCAAATACTTAGGTAAGCTTCAATTAAAAAATACAAAAGAAAGATATAGTTGAGAAATATAAAAAGTATATTACCAATACAAAACACGTCATTATTGTACTTAATAGATAAATTTAATAAACTGAATGTGCAGTAGACGAGGATGAGAATGTATTTCAAATGACTGGCTCTTGTGTCATTATTACCCAATTCATGAACGGTTTTAAATAATACATAGAAATAACCGGTACGAGTTTCCTATTTTTGTTTATACTGCCTAACAGACTGCCTCCTCGGATCCTGCCTAACAATTTTCAAAAAATAAAAAACCATTTTAAATTAAAATCCTAAAAATATATCAATATAACAATATAAATTGGGGTGCAATTTTTGAAATATAGTTTCAACTTTGTTTACCTTTAGTTGAAAGTGATGTGTTAGTACCGTCGACCAGGATTTTGACCATAGCCAGCATTACCTGCATTTACATTACCAGCTCCTAAATAAAGAAAATAWGGTACAATTAAACTTTGTAATTATACTATTAATTAATTAAAATATTCAAGGAATTAAATACAACTACCTGGGTTTCCATAAGGTGTAGAACGATTATTAGAGGTATAATTAGACCTCATCGGGCCACCACCGCCGCCATAACTTTGATTTGGACCCCAGTTGTTACCTTAATATTCGTAGAAATTAATATAAATATAAAAAAAAATTACTTATCAAATAACTTACTGGGTTGTTGCGAACCTCCCCAACTATCACCACCACCTCCTTGGTTGCCCCATGCAGGATTGTTGTTACCCCAACTTTGAGGAGCACCACCGCCACCTTGCCAGGCTCCACCAGAATTGGAATTGTATCCACCTGCACTACCACCATACCCACCTCCGCCACCGCCAGAGCCATATCCTCCTCCCATTCCAGAATTTCCATATCCTCCACCTCCACCATTTGATCCTAAAAGAAAAAAGATATAAGATAAATAATATACATATTTACTAAAGACAATAAATTAACTTTAATGATTAGCTTGATATTTTATCAACAGAACATATAAACATAGGAGAGACATTTCTTAAGTACAGTTGATTCAATAATTTCAAAGTGGATGGGACTTTAAAATTGTTATGTATTAACATTGTTGTCTAATTTTTCATAAAATTTTACTACAAATGCCCAAAAGTGCTTAAATGCATCTTTTATTTTATTTTAATTAACAAAAGATTTTATAGGAAAAAAGTGATTATTTTGAATAACTGAATGTGTCAAATTATCAACTGTATTTAGTTATTTACCAACAAAAAATATTTAGACATTTAACAATCTAAAGGATAATTATTTATAATCAGTGTTGAAGTTAAAAACTTCATGTATTTGAAATTCATGAATACAAATAAATATCTGACGTAAGGAAAATATAGTTGTAACCTTGTAACTAGTAAAATTTATATTATATATATAGATTCATAATTACTGTTATGATGTCCTCCCCATTGTTCATTTCGAGGATTTCCTCCCCAGCTACTTCTATTACCACCCCCTCCACCTCCACCGCCACGACCACCACGTCCACCTCGGCCACCACCGCCGCCGTCACTACGACTAATAGCTTTTTTCACATCCAATTTTCCTCCAGCAACTTGATGACTTTTGATCACTATATTTAAACAATCATATATTAGTTAAAAGTTTAAGAAAACATTTGAGTGWGTATATATGATACTCACAAACAGCTTTGTCAACGGAATCGGTATCATCATACTCAATAAATCCAAATCCTTTTCGTTGACCAGAATCTTTATCAGTTACTATTGTTACATTAGTGATATTGCCAAATTTTCCAAAATATTCAAGTAGATCATTTTCTGATTGTTCTTTTATACCAGAAACGAACATTTTTTTCACAGTAGCTGCAATATCTGGTTTATCAATATCCTAAAATCATGAAAATAAACATACTTAATACTCTTTGTTAAATTAAAAAAAAAAAAAAATTGACTATAAAGAAAAAAATGCATGATACAATATATAAAATGTTAATCGCATACATCACGTGGTACAGCTCGTTTAGTTTCAACTTCACGACCATCAATTTTATGAGGTCTGTTTGACATGGCTTGATCAACCATAGATGATTGAGAATAAGTAATAAATCCAAATCCTTTAGATCTAAATGTTTATGCAATATAATAATTAATTACTAGATAAAATATTCAACAAAGAAATGGTTACCTCTTTGTAATAGGGTCTTTTATGACAATAACATCTACAATTTCACCCCATTGCTCAAAAAATTCTTTAAGTGAATCATTAGTTGTGGTGTAGTTTAAACCTCCAATGAATAATTTTCTGTATTGTTCTGGTTCCTATTGTAATTAAAATATTTGGGTTATGGTTAACATACAAAAGTTTCGTGTGAGCGATTTTAAATGTATTAGTCAGGTACAAGTATATGAATAATAAAACAACTTGAGCTATTTATTCGAATAAGGTAGGTTAGCTTTACTTACGTCAGATCCCATGATTGATGAGGAAACTCGTAATACGAACAAAATCAGAAAAAAAGTAATGCAAATATAACGCTAATATAGTCAACTGAAATCAACAATCAAATTCTAGTGTTTCTAAGATTTATCTATGACAATAATGATTAATGTTATAAAGAAAGAAATTCACAAACAAAAACGGAAATCAGATTTCGCCAGACGCTACAACAGTAAAACGAGTCAATAACTCGGAATCGGAACGGAGGCGTCTGTGTGCGTTCGGTACAGCAAAATGGTGGCCGGTTGATGTTGTATGACGCGGACGCTTGTAACAGTGTGAACAACTTAATTTTAAAACATGCAAACATTTTTCTTTTCCAATGGCGCGAAATATAAACCATTTAATTATTAGGTACCTATTACAAATTGATACAATTTATTATACTATTATGGTATACGCGTCGAAGGCCATTTATTTTAGCAAGTTTTCTGTGCCAAAATGGACACACAGTAAAGTGTCATGAATTTGTTTGTTATACAAATCCACGATTTTGTAAGATGGTGATTTGAAGAACGTAATTATAAATTTACCTACGTGTTTTTTATTAGAAATACGCCTCAGCAGCGAATGCCATTATTTCCATTGGCTGACGTATTAAAACGTTAAACAAAAAATTTCACTTAATCAATTTTAGTAGATTTATTGTAATTTAAAAGATATTAGATTTAAATGCTMATCCATTTTTTTCAACAGGTATATATGACTTATGAATAACGCAATCTTCAATAATTACAGACCAATTTTGAACTATTTAAACTTTGAACCTATTTACACCTTTCTATGTAAGTACTTACATCTTTACTGACTATTATTTAGTTCAGTTATAATTTAATAACTACAATTGTCTTGAAGAATATATGGTTATTAAAATGTTGATGTTAAAAGTGGGATAAGAAGTTTATTGTTGAGGTTTGTTTTTCTATAACTTAGGAGAATGTGTATAATCACTAAATAACGGCCTGATATGACAAATGTATTATTTGCATAGAGTATAAATATAAATAATAAATAAGTATAAATATAAATAATTAAATAAATGATTTATAAATAATAAGAAAGTATTTACTCTTTAACTGACCTAATAAATTGGTTGTATTATTACAATTTAAAAATGCATTAAGTAAGATATAATAATATACCTTTGAAGAAATAATATTTATTTTTTTCAGTTGTATTGCTTGTACTTGTAGTACTATTATATAATGTACTATCATGCTAACAAAAAAAAAATGGAAAAAACATGTTTTTGTAGATGAGGATGGCCATAAAAGTAAATAAACAAAATTATTTTTGAAAATGTAACTGACTTTATTAACTATTAAACATTTAGATTTTAGATCTTGGCTAATACATTTTAAATTACAACGAAATGTTAAGTAAAACTTCATAGTTCTGTATGTTATACATGCTGCATGTTAGTCTGGATAATAAATTAAAACATTTTTAAAGAGCCTTACATTGATTATACAAACCAAAGCTTTACATTTGATTCAGTAGGTATATAATTAATAGGTACGATGTTCAGGTTATAAAATAAACAAATATAATTCCATGGCAAATACAATTAATTTATCTATCGTATGAAATACTTCAATAATTCAACATAAGAATATAACATATTTAATTATGTTTTAATCAATAATATACAAACTACAAAAAATGTAATTTATCTTCAGCAAATATTATCATATTTTAAAAAAGAATGAACAAAATAAAAATGAATATGCATGTACCAGCATATTAAATTTAAATTAAACTTAATCAGTATACACAACCTGTTTTTTAATTTAAAAATAATTTATTTAAAACATTATTAACAATAAAAAACACAATGTTTCACCAATCAGTTTACATAGTCTTCTAATGTATTATATGAACTACACTTTAATTAATGAATGACAAAAATAATAGTTATTAATAATTAATTCTTATAATTTTTTTTCATCCGCCCATGATAAAAAATATTCAATCTTTTTCAATAACAAACGTACTTTCTTAATGTCTACATGTATGAAATAAGAGGCTTTAGCATCAGGAAACTTTCTATTAAATTCTCCTTGTTCAGTTTTTTCTAGAAACAAAATAATTAAAATATAGAACACAAAATACAATTCTGTTACCTAAATTATTTTTTAACATACTCAACGGAATATTTTTTTSCTCATTTTTATACATTGTCAGTAAATTATGTATATCAGATAAAGCTAATTTTATGTTATGATTGCAGTTGGAATCAAAACCATTACTAAATATTGTTTCTAAGTCATTATTTATAAGTTTAAAACCTTCTTGAAATCCTTTGAACATTTCATGCTGAAAACCAAAATAATACAAAACATAATAATTATTTCCATATTCAATGTTGACATAATTAATGAAATAAACTTATTTATTACCTCTTGAATACAAAGCTCAACAGATTTTACTGCCATGTCATAAGATTCAAAATTCTGATTAAAAGAAAGATTTTTTGACAAATTATAGAGTCCATTGATAAATTCTGATAGATATGATTTATGTTTTCCGTTATAATACCGTATCAAAAACACATATGAAGTAATCATATTGACTAAATTCCATTGGATGCAGTCTGATGGTGATTTTTTCTAAATAAAAATCTTAATTACATAATAAGAACATAATAGGTTGATATTTAATCAATAGGTATTAATCTTTTGAGAAGAAAATTAAGAATGTACAAATGTTACTCAGGAAGCTGATTAAGAATGGAAAGTTGAATTTTTTTTATTAATTTTTGAGCGATGCCATACTCTGTAAATAAGTGTATAATATGTAATAAAAGTTATAATTTATAATATTATACAATGGTTTATAAAATAAAACCGTTTGATTGTAGACAATGGATTGAGCCTATTGCCCATCTCAATTTATTAAAATAATATAAAATAAATAATATTAAAAATATTTTTAGGAATTAAGCCATGTTTTATTAAAATTAATCAATTAATAATAAAAATACAATATATTTGTTTGTTTATACATTTACACCAGAAAATCAGTTTAAATTTCAGAATTTTCACACACTTATTTTTTATTACTTAAATTATTTACATATTTATTCCAAGCAGTCTTAAATGATTAATATTTTAGTATTTAAAATAATACAATGTAAGTTTTACAGAATTTCTAATCGAAATTGAAGATATTATTTCTTCTATCTTTGATAATTTATTGAAGTTAACATGTTTAAAAATGATTAACAAGTACCTACAAACAAAGGAGATTTTGGCAGCAACTCTATTCAATATAAATAATTTTTGCTAGCTTATAGATAGAAGATATGATGGGAAATAAAATAATTTGTGATAATTTAGTTGCTAAATCAAAGTTATTAATTCTGACTTAATATCCTGGCTTATAGGCTGAACAATTTTAATAAAATGTTTTATAAAAATTATAAACCAAATAAATGTATTTAAAAATTTAAATGCAAATAAAATTAGTTTAACAAAAATTATTCAATTAAATATTTATTCATAAGATAGGCACTTACTGAAAGTATAGACAATTTTGGAATGTTTGTTACCAAAGGCGGAATCTCACTTTCTTCAATATTCTCACCAACTTCAGTTACTATTTGTTTTTCAATCCTATAATATGATATAATAATTGACTTTTGAGAGTTATATTGAATTTATTTATTTATAAGTTCGCTTACGGTAAACACCACCAAGGAGTAAACTGAGGTAGAATTTTAGAGATATCGCCAGACTTAACAAGATGTTCAAATTCCGCTTTTTCTGAATCAGTTAAATAACTCCATACTACCTCAGCATCATTTAGATCAATACCATTCAATCGGTCATTGATATCTGTGAATTCTTCATCATCTGAATCATTTTCTATATCAAATAGGTGTATATTTAAATAATAATTAATATCAAGTTAATTAATTTTATAATTATTTAAAATTATATAATACATTATATTAATATACTAGATATTCTTAGTATTCTTCAATATTAAATAAAGTAAAAGAATACAGTGGCGTGGCTACTATTTAAAAATAGGAGGAAGGGCAAAACTAAAATATTTTAGAAAATGCTCAACAATTAATGATAATATTTATACCCACATTTAAATCAATAGAAAGGTTATTCAGTAATAATCACAATATTTAATGGCCTTAATTAAATTTAAAAATATGTATGTTATAAACTAAATATTTCTTAATTTCCTATATAATGTATAGGTAGTCACTAGTATTATTATTTACTAATTCTTTTGGTTAAATTATTTAATAATATAGCGAAATCATTGTTTATTATGTTAAAATGGTATTACAAATTACAAATTACATAAGTAGTAAGTAGGTGAGTGGCGTACACACGTCGTAGGGAGGGTGGTTTGGGTTGGATCCCCCCCCCCAGGACAAAAAAATAAGATATTATTGATGAATTGTATATATTTGTAGTTTCATTGTTACGCTCTGAACAGTATACAACTAAACAAATATTTTAATAATTAAATAATTAAATAATTATTTTAATAGGTGTTTGAAAAGTTTTGTTAACTGTACTGTTTTTATATTCCTAGCTACTAGTTTACTTTAGTGTAAAATAAAACTATAAATTGTTTCAAAAAGTTGTATAAAATCATATTAATTATCCATGTGTACTGTACTCAGACAAACATCACAACATATAGTATTGACTTTTGAGTATACCCTATAGTTCTATACTATACCAACGAAAAAAATAGATAACAAAGTTATGGTTGCCGTATACAATACAACATTGTTTAGTAATCGTTCAATTTTGAGTAAACGGCAATAATACAGTGAAATGGATTCTATTTTTTTGGCACTATAGTTAATGGCCATTGACAATGTTAAAAATTTTGTTCATAATAATATTTTTTTTTTTTTTTTAATTGTTTGAGGCATCAACTGCATGGTTATTAGCCAGCGTTACAACAATATTATTCATAATCTAACCTGTTCTATTCTACCGTAGGACAAGTTTATGTCAAAAGTCAAAAACTTTAAACAATTCATTGAACTCCATAAGTAAGTCTTTAGATAAGAGTTCATAAAATAACTTAAGTTCAGTGTTGGGTAAATTACTTTTAAAAAGTAATGAATATATGTTACTCGTTACTTCAAATTTTTTGTATAACATTACATTAATTTTATATAGGTAACGTTGTAAAAATAAATACAAAATACATTACTTTTTCACTAATAAGTAGTGCGGCACAAATTATGTGAGTTATGTAAACCTTTGCATTAGTTTTGTTATTTTATATATTTATATGTGTTTGATTGTTAGGAAAATGGGTAGTTTTAAAAGGAAGGTTTTTATAATGGTTTTTTTAAGCCCGTCCCCCCGCCCTACAGCAAGTTTGAATTTGAACTTAGTAGGTGCCACAAAATTGAAATGATTGTAGGATATTGGTTGGTACGATTAAAATAATTAGATTAGATTATTTTTAAATTTTGGATAGGAACTCTTTCTTTTATTCAATGTTAAAATATTAAAAAATCAACATTATAAGAAATATTTACCAGAATCTTCATTTTCTCCATACACTCTTTTAAGAATGTCTATCATTTCTCTCTTGCCTACATCGTCTGAATCTTGAATGTCTAACTCTTCTTGAATGCATTCTTTGTAAAATTGTTCTGTACACTCTAAATGAATAGACGATTTGTAACACGTTAAAGAGCAGTAAGGTGCTCCGCATTTTGGACAAACATATCTGCTTTGATTCCCTGTACAACTTAATAAAACAAATATTGATATAAATAAATAACTAGTTTGAAATTCATCAAATGTTTTTACTTACAACTTACAAAGAGTGTCCGTATTCATATTCAATGGGTACTTAAAAAATTAACTGTTGAGATTACAAACAAATATTGAATAATATGTTTTTAAATTGGTAAAACTAGTACAAATTAAATTATGTATTATCAATAATATGCTATTAATACAATTTACAAGTATTGAGGTAATCTGTATGAGAAAGCTAAAGAAAAGATTTAAAATTTAATCACAGTATAATATATAATATTATACTTTTCTATGAACTGACGAACTGTGTAAAATAAATATCGGAATTCGGAATTTAAGATCAAACGTGTTGCCGATTCTCTTAGTTGTATCAGGGCCCTGACACAGGATAATGATATCAAATGCTATCAAACATATTATCTAAAAAAGTACGAATTGCCACCAAAAATATTTAGTTTAAATTTTGGATATAATATAATATATTTATAATTTATATAGTATCCACTATCCTAATCAAATTAATCAATTATCAATGATGAATCTCAATATTCAATAACATTGACACATTGTATACTTATTGTATTGTTTGGAATCTACATTGTCTTATATAGTTTGATTTTGATATGTTCCCCATGATATTTAAACAACTCCCCAGTTTATCTTAAACGACTTAAACCCTATTTATCTATCTAAGTACCTATCTAATATATCCTGAGTGGAATTCAGACAATTTTTTTCACTGATTATACATTATTACATTAACTATTATCATCCTTTTACTACATGATATGACGAATTTGCACGTTTAAGCGATCTCTATAACTCAATAGTCTCAATATTTTGTTCACAATACTTTTATACTTCAATTGAATAATAAAACTCTGTGCAAAACTAATCAATCAAAACTATTTACTAACTACTGTTTGAAAGTTGACTGATGAACGATGAACGGTATACTTATAGTAATAACTAATAAGGTGTATTATAGACATTATAGTACACTCATATCTTTTGATGGTCACCTAACGAACTACAGAATATTATCTATAGTGCATAAGTATAACCATATAATGTATTGAAACAATGTATCCCCCCCAAATCATTTTCTAAATTCGACACTGACTAAATGGCATAGTAGTAATAACCAGAATAACCTACCTAACATAATGTAATAACTTATTTACCATAATTTATACTGGGGACCACAAACGGCATCTATTCTACTGTTCCTCCATATAGGTAGGTACTTGGTTTTCGTAGTTGTCATAATATAATATAGGTTAATAATATATATTATCTATGGTTATATCCGTTATATAGTAGGTTTGTGTGTGATTGCGTGAATAGTAAAAAACTCGAAAATCTTAGAATTCGATCTACACGATATATGTATAGATACTACTGGATGTCAGAGCCGTGTCGGTGCCGCTAAGATTTTGCACTCATGGCAAAATTAAAAATATTTACCTAACTTAACCTCTTAAAGTTTAAAATATTATAAAAAAACATTTTTAGCACCCCTTAAAACCATGCGCACGAGGCGTATGCCCGCTAGGCCCAACCACGGCATGGCTCTGTTGAGTGTTACGAGTTATAAACGTATAGGTACCTAACAGAAAGACCTGACAGATATTACTAAATATAAATATAAAAGCGCTACATCGGATTTCATAAATTATGAGATAAACAAATCAAAAACCAAATATACGATAATATCAAGACGAGAAAATCATGAGAAATATTTATATGGAAATTAAGAATTACAAATTTCAAAGAGTATATATAGTTTTAAATATCTGAGCGTAACAATACAAATATATTATTACAAACATGATAGAAATAACTAGTTATTTCTATCATGATTACAAATACCAAAATTAATAATCACGGAGAAATTAAAATTAGAACAACTGCAGCGAATAAAATGAATGCTATTATGGATTAACTAGTAATTAGTATCTTCAAATCAAAGCAAGTACCTATATCAGTCAAATCGAAAATATTACACTGTACAAATTATTTATAAAGGAAACAAAAATGCTGAAATAATCAAATAACACATTACAATCTCAAGTGTGGCAATTTATTATATAGCCCATAAGTAGCTATATTATTATTTTTGGATGTATAGCTTTTAGTGTATCTATATATAGCTAATCGAGTCTCGAGTTACGTTATCCATGGTCACATTCTTTTATTGAATATTATATTAATAAGTGTAATACACTAATACATATTGATTTTATACAAAAAAATTGTATTTTTATATTTATATTCTAATTAAGTATTCTATTTAATAATATGATTAGGTATCTATTGTTATTTGTAAATTACTTACCTTAAAAAAAATACCTATACCTATATAGATAGGCTAGGCACATACGTCCATCGTACAAAGGTAATATTGATTAGAACGAAGTTTATATTTATATTTATAGTCAAGTTTATTTATTGGTTATTTCTGTTTAACTTTGCTTAGTCTAAATTTTGTGGTCTGTTAACTAAATTAGGTAGTATATATCTATTGACTACTCTTGTAGGTATAGTAGGTACCTGAAATGTCCTATGATGCTTACGGTCATAATCATAATAAATTATAATCACCTTTACGTTTATCACGGTTTACAGCATGTTAGTTAGTGGCTACTGGGTAATAAATTATGATAATGACAAGTCAATACAATAGAATATTTTCCCGATTTTATAATATATTATATGATATATTGAAATTATAATTATTGGATAACAATAACTAATAAGATCATCGACCGACGACCTCGTTGCAATTTCATTGATTTAATTTATATCGTAAAATATCGATAACCAATGCCTATCAGACATCAGTATAGTCACTAAATTACTCAATAATATACCTACTACCGCCAAGATATTTGGTAAGAATTCGTAGGAGTGAACTACGTTTGCCTCGAATTATATTATTGAAAACCAAAACGCGAAACGCTTATACCACAGACTCAGAAGTCAACTATAACAACCAAATKAACATGAACCAATTTAAAAAAAAATATTAGAAATATAACGATATATATGTTTCCTTTGATTAGTTCAAAATTTATTTAATATGTAAATATTAATAATTGTAAATTAGATTGGAACAAATTATTTAAAATTTAATATTATTGATATTAAAAAATATATATAGAATATTATGTTTAGTATAGGTATTGTTAATATACTATATAAGATAATCTTATTAAGATTTAACATATTATAATGTCTGTTAAATTTGATTTTAATTATAAGTTATGAGATAAGTAACATAATTACTAATAACATTTACTATTTATTTTATTTGTTGAATTTTTTTTTTTTTTTTAATGAAATAATAGCAATATTATGTATGTTTGATGTAATAATTGTCGAGGTGTCTGGTATAATGAAGTATGTTGAAATTGTTTATGTTAAGTCTATATAACATGTATAGAAAAAAACTTTAAATTATTATGACTTAAATTTATTTAGATTTTTACTATAGTTTGTTATATAATTATCAATTATAATTTTCGTGTTATCCCATTACTTTTATATTCTATAAATTAATATCTATGTATTTATATTACATATAGTATACGTATACGTATACGTTTATTGAAAGTAGTATCTTCCTACGACCTACCTATTATATCATCATATAATATAATATAGGTATATATTATCATATACTTCAACATATTTCATTACCGTGTGACGCCATACYTTAAACCGGTATACCTGATAAAAGATTACAGAATTTCAAACATCTTTGAGCACGTCCAATCAAAAGTATTTGTTTGTGTAGTAGGTATAGTTGTAACATATTTTATTGTGTACCTACAGCCAGGTATTCAGTGACTGAAGTACTGAGCAGAAATACAGAACTACGAGTATACAGTTTATTTACGTCAGACGTGTTAGACCTTAGACGTAGGTGTATGTAATTAATTTTAATAGATTATTATTTTTAATTTTAAATCATAATTAAATCTATTTTATTTTATAAAAACATCATGAGATCAATAATATTTCGAAGTCAATTAAAGGTATGTATCTGTATATATTGCATTATTGAATAATTGAATAATATGTGAATTGTATAAATATTGAATAATTTTTACTCAGAATATTTAAATTATCAAATTAAAAACCATTTAAACCTAAGAAAATACGTATTATAAATACCAATTATTTATAACATTGTTTATATTACTATAGGTACTATTACTATATAAGTATTATAAGTACTAATAAATCGTTATAAATGTTTTTTACGGAATATATTTACATAAAAAAGAATTAAATATAAATATGTACCTACTCAATTAGAATATTTAAATTGAATGTAGGTATTACCTATGTAGAATAATTCACATTTTTTTGTTTTGTACGTCTACGTTCAATCTAACCCACAGTCCATTCATAATAATGATATAACATGCCTATGATCTGTCATAGTGCCATTATATAATAGATATACTGATATAACTAAATCATATTTTTGTTCTTTGTTATTACATATATTCTCTAGCCTCTACAGTCGTCTTAATGAAACATTGGAAGTTTTATTAAATATAAATTTAAAAAAAACCTAATTACAATAAATGTCATTTAAGTTTGAATATATATTAGGTAGGTATCAAATACAGAACTTATATATCATATGTACTAAGACTCTAACRCTMTAAGCAATAGGTATTTTACTTACTGAAAAGTGCAGACACAGCTGTTTATATACCATATATAGGTGTTCTATATATACCTACGGCGCTCGTCGATATAGGGTACGAGCAAGTTATGCGCTGCTTAAATATTTTTAATGAAATTGAAACGACAAAATACCTAACCTAACTTTATAACCTCGCTTCAGGGCAAAAAATATTTAACAAGTTAATTATTAAGCCTACATAAAACGTATATAATATATTTGATCACGGTATTGTAGGTAACTACTAACTATAAAATAAAAAGCCATACCTACTCAAAAAATACATCAATAAACTAAGTATACACACATATTTTCTACCATGGTAGATATGCATATCACAGCAAATGACTACAAAAAGTTAGTTAGAATTACTGCAATGTTCATTAATAGGTAGTAATATTAAACTTACGTGTGATAAAAATTTACCTGACTTAAGAGGTTATACATTTACACGACTATATATATATAGTTAGCAGACTACTGACTAATTATTTCAATTACCTAAAATGACATTATAAAATGCCATATCGGTATGTCGTAAACTTCACAAAATATAAATAGATATAGGTAATTTAATTTTTGGCTTTTTGCAAATAAAAATGTGTCATGTACGATGTGCTATATCCCTTTGATATTTTTGAAATACCTACATAAAGATTAAATTCATCAAAAGTTTATTTGTACCTACAAACAATTGTAAAAAAATCAAGCTTGTACTAAGCTAACAATTTTATGGATATTTATAAAAAACAAACTAATTAAAATTCAATTTTTAAATGTCTTTAAACAGCTCAAAAAGAGTTGACATATTTTGAAAATGTTATGAGGATTAGGTATAAAAAAATATAAAATGATAAAATAAACATTTGATGAAAATTTCAATTAACTACTGTCATTCGTTTTTGAATTACAACAAAATAAGAAAATCTTTAATTTATGAGTCCGTGTAAAAAGTTGTGCTTAAAAATGGTCGTTAGATATTGCCCAAGCATTCGATAAAGTCTGGCACGATGGCTTACTATACAAATTAAAACTCTTCATGCCAGCTCCTTACTATCTTATTATAAAATCGTATCTACAAAATCTTTCGTTTGTCGCAGGGTAACGATATCTCATCTATACTCACTCAATATATTCTGGAATCCCGCAGGGTAGTGACTTATCCCCTGATCTATACAATATATTCACAGCAGATATTCTTCAATCTTGTAACACCCTTCTTGCGACATACGCCGATGACACAGCTATTCTTTCCTCTAGTTCAAATCCTATCCTAGCTTCATCTGCACTCCAGGATCACGCTAATAAAATAGACGAATGGACCAAAAAATGGAAAATCAAAATAAATACTGACAGATCTGTACAAGTCACTTTCACGTTAAAACAATCTCCCCGTGAATTCCCTTAATTAACCATGAACAACGCCCCCATCCCTGTCCAAACTGAAATAAAGTACTTAGGCATAACACTCGATAAAAGACTTACCTGGGGCCTCCACCTATAAAAGAAAAAAGAAAATCAGCGAACAATAGACTTCACCTCCTCCGACCACTCCTCAACTCCAAAATACCACTCCAAAACAAACTTATTATATATAAGACAATCATAAGACCAGTMTGGTCTTATGGAATAGCAWTYTGGGGCCCAGCCAAGCCCTYGAACATCAGGCCAATTCAGGCTTTTCAATCAATAGCGCTAAGGTTAGTAACCAAAGCCCCCTGGTACGTTTCAAAYTCTACCTTACACAATGACCTAAAAATATTAACTACCACTGAACTAGCCAAAACAATGTATAAACGTTTCCACCAAAATTTAAGCACTCATCACAATACTTTAATATCACACATGTCCTCCCTCCCCCTCCCAAAAAACCCACCACGCAGACTAAAGCGAAAATGGTGTAGAGACCTATTAAATTAGTAAAGGAGGTGTTACCATTGGGTTTCTTCCTCATCACGTCATTCATGCTACTTTATTCTGTTTTTATCTTATTTGCTTATTGTAATTACTGTGTACAGATTGTAAATTGTCTTTCTAAATAAAAAAAAAAAAAAATGGTCGTAGAGAAAAAAAAGTTACTTTCCGATAAACTTTTATCATGAAAGTTAGAATACCTTATGTGGATTCATGTACTTATTAAATTTCCAAATCTTAAGTATAAAAAGAAATTTTTACTAATAATAATTGAAAGAACATCTAAAAATTCTCATGCCTATGCCTAAGTAGCTCTACAAGCTCTAAACTTGATAAATTGTATCTTGTATGAAAAATGTATAAATTAAAAATATACAAACAAAAAACCATAGATTAGTATACTTAATACAAATGAATAAAACATTTGGCGAAAAATAAAAATATTTATTTATGATTATTTGTTTTCTAATTCCTTCAAAAAGACAAAATCGATATTTTMAAAAACCGATTCTGAATTAAAATTCTAGTTTTTTCTTAATTTTATTTTGTTTTTCTCTATAATTTATAAGCTAATAAGAACTTTTGACCCCACAAAAATATTATTTAAATCCAACTTATATGTGAAACCTCGTAATACATTTTTTATTAATATAACATCACATTTCTAATAATGTATTATTAGAAATAATTTAAAATTTATCATATAAAGTTATATTTTTACTCTTATGATTTACATGATTAAATATTTATTATACCATGCACAGGTACTTATAATTTTACAATGGGTTATATTGGTTATAATTAAGGCTAGGATTTATATGCAATAAAAAATTGTAAAATATGCATTTTATTTACCAAAATATACAAAAATATGCAAAAATAGATTTTTATTATTATTTATTATAATTCATAATTTATTATTATTACTTATTATTAGCTCATATTATTACATTAAATATTAGTTTTATTAGACGTAACTTGGCACTTTCACTTTGAACTTTCGGCATACTGGAAAACCATTCAAATTATTAAGTATAAACGTCCACACATTTACGCAACACACGACGTACTAATACAATTTTTCTGTGCTATCTCACTRTATAACAATGTGTAAKTAATTCTACCGGTCGTCCGACCAACGATAAGGTAACAAACGGATTTAATCTGACCTAAGATAAAATATAGGTAGTATTTATGCTATATATTTACAAAAATTCAACGGATAACCCAAAAACTGTCGGTTTCGTGAAGTACCATTTAAAATTAACAATAACTTATAAAAATTAAAAAATGTTAGTGAAAAAATATCGAATTCTAAAAAAAAATTATGAATATGCAATTATATGCATTATGTCCAAAATATGCGAAAAAAAATTGGTCCGATTTAAACGAGAATAAGCCAAATCGTGGACAAATCTGACAACCAATCAATTTGGACTAAAGGAAAAAAACATGCAAATGCATTTAAATCCTAGTCCTAGTTATAATCATTTGTATTGTTATTATATATGTTCAAAAAAGTGTAAACATTATTATATAATATGACATTAACTTTTTAGGCTGGGTTGTTCGTCAATGGATTTAATAATTTTACTAGTTGTAGTAATAACTATAAATTGAGAAGAAATCATACAGATGCTCAGAGACCGTTATCTGTTTTGAGCGAAGATGAACAGTTTTTTAAGGAAACGGGTATGTTATACTTTAAAACATTTGATGTATAGTTTGTTCTCACGTAGGTAACTCGTACTACCTATGCTGAAATACATATTCAGGTACAATAAAAATCCATGAAAAGTAAAAAT